AGTATGTAATGAGGGTTCAACAACAATCATTTTCATACCGTGCGCTTTTACCTGCTCGAGTGTCATTCAACGTATATTTTCCGAACCCTCGATGCCCGCCCTCTTCGTTTTCGAGCGTGCCCGTTTTGGGGGGCGCATCTTTCTTGCCTGCAGGCTGGGCCCCGGCGAGCGGCGGGGCGGCCGCGGGCCGTCGGCCTAACCAGCGGCGGCGCTGATCGGCGGCAACCCGATCCCAAGGGGGGCGGACAGGGGTCCGACGACGACGACGACGAGCGACAGCGACAGCGACAGCGGGGCCACGAAGGGCAGGAAGGGGGCCACGAAGGGCAGATAACGCGGGGCAGCGACAGGGCCGCTGAGGGTAGCAACGGGGCCACGCAGGACAGCGACGGGGGCCGCAAAGGGCGACAGCAGGGCCACGAAGGGCATGCGCATGGGGCCGCGACGGGCGCGAACGAGCGGGGACCACGCAGGGCATGCGCATATTGGGCCACAGAGGGCACGGACGGGGCAACCGAGGGCACCGACGGGGTCACAAGGGGCAACGAGGGGGCCACGAAGGGCGACGGCGGGGCCGCGAAACGCATGCACGTTGGGCCGCGACGGGTGCGAACGACCCGGGGCCGCGAAGGGCGCACATCTGGGGCCACGAAGGCAAACGAAGGAGCCGCGAAGGGCTGCGCCCGGGCAGCGAAGGGCAGCAACGGGGCCGCGACGGGGTGCGACTGGGCCGCGAAGGGCACAGAGGGGGCCGCGAAGGGTTGCAACGGGGCCACGAAGGGTTGCAACGGGCCCACGAAGGGCTGCGACGGGGCCACGAAGGGCAGCGAAGGGGCCACGAAGGGCGCGCACGGGGCCACGACGGGCAGCGAGGGGGCCACGAAAAGCTGCGACGGGGCCGCGAAAGGCAGCGAAGGGGCCCCGACGGGTTGCAACGGGTCCGCGAGGAGCAGCGAGGGGGCCGCGAAAGGTTGCAATGGGGCCACGAAAGGCAGCGAGTGAGCCACGAAGGGCTGCAACGGGTCCACCAAAGGCAGCGAGGGGGCCACGAAGGGCTGCAATGGCGAAGGGCAGCGAGATTTCGATTCCTTAGTAAGCTTTCAGGGGGTCCTCAGCGTGAGCGTGACTCCTGGGCGCCTTAGTCGCCCGAGGGCAACTGGCCCGTGCGCGGGCGGGTCGGCCTGGCGGTGGTGCGAGTTCGGGTTCGAGACGGAGCTGTGGAGCGGGCTGCTTTCGGAGGGCCGCAGCAGACGGCGCGCCGCGGTGAGGCTTTTGAGGCCTTGCTCCTGGCCGTGAAAGGGTCGCTCGGCCCCACCCTTCTCGCGTTCGACAACCTGGCGGTCTGCGAAGGCTGGTGGAGGCGGCGCGACCAGCAGCCCCGCGGCGAGGGCGCCGACCTCTGGCTGGAGTTGACCAGAAGCTTTCGAGGGAGACCCAGGGGCGAGTATGTGGTGACTCACTTCAACTCGCACCTGGAGATGGCTGAGGCGGCCCTCCTGTGGGTTGCGCCATGGCTAGTCATCGGCAACGCGGTCGCCGACGTCTACGCTGGACAGGCTGCCGAGGAGGTGGGGGCGACGGCAGCGGACGGTGCCAGAATCATCGGCAACGAAAGGAATGCCCTCCTGGTCAGGCGGCGGAACCTTAGCGCCACGCTGGACGCCATCGAGGCCGAGGGGGGGCAGCCCACGGGGCAGCGCAGCCTGAGGAGGGCTCGTCGGGCCCCTCCAGCCGTCACGGCGGCGGCTGCTTTCAGTTCTTCGCATGGGCTGGACGACAGTGGAGGATGCCAGCGTTGCCGCTGTTCGGCATCGCATGCCACCCTCACGTCCTGGCTTCTCTCGCCCTGCCTGGCACTGCGAGTAGCGGGGGGCGGCGTGCTGCAGCTGGCCGGCGGAGGCGCCCACGTCGGCAGCGGCAGCCCGCGCACTTCGCGCTGCGCCAGGGCTTGGACGCGCGGCGCTGCAAGGGCCGTGGCTTCTTTGCGGCGGCCGCGGGTCGCCCCCCTGGCAGGGGCCCGAGGGCCGCGCGCCGTAGGCGACCCTCGCGCCGCGGCAAATTCTACCTGGAGCGGATCGGCCGAGGAGTTTGGCCCGAGGCGGCCAGGAAGGCGAGGGGGGTGGCAGCTGCTTCGCTGGCGCTGCACTCGGCTGCCCTGGCCAAGCGACCTCCGCGACGAGCTCGAGTTCGGCGCGCAGCGAAGCGGGCCGGCACGGCCGGCCCCGGTCGCGCCTTCGACCTGCGCGCTACCGAGGGCGGAGGTGACGCGGCGGAGCCTTATTATCCATTGGCCGCCGCAGGACCTGCGCCGCGCGACGAGGCCGCCACGGGCTCCAGTTGGCGAGGGGGAGGTGCCTGCTAGCGCCCCGCAGGCCGCCCGGGGACGCTTGCCGCGCGCGGCCAGAGGAGGGGCGGCCACCTCCTGCGCGACGCCCAGCCGGAAGGAAATGCGAAGTGGCCACTGATAAGCAGTTTTTTCTTCCAACAACAGTGGCCCGCTCATCGGGGCGCTGCAGCGAGAGGATGGTTTGTCTACTCCCAGGGGCAGTGGCCCGCTCTTCGGGGCGCCTCAGCCAGTTGTTGTGCAGCGTACTTCCAGCGGCAGTGGCCCGCTCATAGGGGTGCCGCGCGCGGCGGGCGGAGTTGCTTCCAGCAGCAGTGGCCCGCTCCTCGGGGCGCCGCAAAGCGAGGATGCGGTACCTACTTCCAGCGACAGTGGCCCGCTCATCGGGGCGTCGCATGCAGTTGGTGGGCAGCGCCCTCCAAGCGGCAGCGGCCCGCTCCTCGGGGCGCCGCAAGCAGTGGGCGATGAAGAGCTGGCCGGTAGCCGTCGTTGTCTTCTGCGTGGGCTCGGTGGTTCAGCCAGCCTCCGAGGCGAAGGCCATGTTCGTCCTCGTGGTGCTGCTGACGCCGCTCGAGGTCTTCCATCTGGTGATCGTTCCAGTGCTGGGTGGTCGGAAGGCCGGGCATCCTTGGATCTGCTCCGCGGCGCCGTGGTATTTGCGGCCAAGAAGCAGCTGGCCTTCGGACAACGCCTTTCTGCTCGCTGCCGCTGGTAGCAGCGCCAGATCCCGAGGGGGGGCGACTCCTCGGGCCGCGCGGGCCATGGAGGAGGCTTCTGCGGGCTGTCCAGAAGGCGAGGGGGAGGTTCTGAAAGCTTCCGGCAGGTCGTCCAGAGGGGGCCCGGCCGCGAGGGGTCGGGGGAGGGACGGCCACCTCCTGCGCGACGCACTCGCCCCCAGGCGGACGGCCTGCAGGCTGATGCCGTCTACGGAGGAACCGATTCCCAGCAGCAACGCGGTGCGGGCCAGCAAGTGAGGGCTGTTGTGCCCGCTGGCCCCCGCGCCGCCACCTTGGGGGGCGGCCCAGGGGGGCCAGCCCCGCTGGGAGAGGCTCCCCAGGGCACATGCATGTCCCAAGACAGTTGCCCACAACCTGTGATAAATTGTGGGGTGAAGAGCTGGTCGCCAGCCGTCGTCGCCCTCTGGGCGGGCTCGGTGAACCAGCTAGCTTCCGAGGCGCAGACCAAGGCCGTCCTCGTGGAGCTGCTGATGCCGCTCGAGACCCCCTGCTGGTGAAGGGCCCAGTGCTGGGTCAGAATATTGGGCGCCCTTGGATCTGCCCCACGGACGGCGTCGAGCTGCCAGTGGCCAGGAAGCAAATGTCCTTCGAGGAGAAGGTCCGCGCGCTGCTCGCTGCCGCTGGCGGCAGCGCCAGAGCCCGAATGGAGGGCACTCCTCGGGCCGCGGGCGGGGCCATGTAGGAGCCTCCCGCCTGAGGCCGCTGGTCTTCCCGTGCCTCGGGCGCGGGGGTCGGTCGTGGTGGTTCCGACCGACGCGCTCCTGCTTTGCTTTGCTTTCACCTCATATCATCTCCTCCTCCTCCTCCTCCTCCTCGTCCTCGTCCTCGTCCTCGTCCTCCTGTGGCGGCGCGCACAGGGGGGTAGGGAGAGGGGGGAAGGCTCCTTCTTAGAAGCTTTCCCCCCTCCCCGTGCGCCCTTGCGCGCGCCGCCAAGTCGATCTCGCGAGCAAAAAATCGGCGAGCAGGTTTTTGGTGGCGCTTTCCTTGAAACAATCAAGATCTGCATCAGATGGGCCGTGCGAGGGGTCCGGGGACCGATTTCGAGGATTTGGCCTCGTCGCACTAGCTCCCTTCGCCGATCAACGATTCAGGCAAGTCGATGCTCGGCGGGGGAAAGGTTCGGAATTCGTCGAACACGTGGCGAGATCCGAACCCTACCCCCGCCTCCCAGTAGAATCGATGGTTGGTGGGGGTAGGGTTTGGATGTCGCCACCTAAGGAAGGACACATAGACACAGACACACATAAACATCGAATTCCCCAAAAAAGATGGGACAACATGTGAAATTGGAAAACGAAGACACATACATTATGGAACATTGTTGCAAAACCTGGAATATGTGTCTACATGTCAGTGTCTTCTTGGGTTCCCGTAAAGTGGGCGGGCAGGGCGATGCAGAAGTGGAGGTGTTTTTCGGTAACAAAGCATGAGAGTCTTGTATACATTCGAAACTCCTCCAAAAGATGCGTTTGTGTCGATTCGTGTGTGGTAATCCATGATATGGCGCGGGGTCAGCGTCGATTGGCGTCGACTTGGCGTCGATCAGCATCGGTTCGCAAGAGCCAGCAAGATGGTATGGGAGGCTCCCACGAGTTGCCGGAGAGGGAAGGTGTCCATTCACCCGCTGGCTCGTCTCCTCCCCGAAAAGGGCAGTGGGAGCGGCCACGGCGAGGAGTGGGAGCGAAAGGGGGCGAGACGGACGACGACGACGACGACGACGACGACGACGACGACGACGACGACGACGACGCTGACGACGCCGAGGTGGCGACGCCGACGCCGACGCCGACGACGACGACGACGTGGCGGCGACGCCGACGCCGACGCCGATGCCGACGCCGACGCCGACGCCGCCTTACGCCGACGCCGCCGACGCCGACGGTGCCGACGCCGACGCCGACGCCAACGCCGACGCCGAGGCCCTGGCTGGTCTTCACCCTCGCGCCCCGCGGCGCGCGGCCGCGGTTCGTGCTATCGTGGCTGGCGGAGCACGGGCTGCTGCCCCTGCGCTGGGTGACGCCGGTGGGCGCCGAGAAGATGGCGCAGGCGCCCAGGGTTTCTCTGCATGCCTCTGCTATCGGCGGCGAGCGAGGGGGGAATGTGAGAAGGAGAAGGCCTTCTCCGAAGGCGCCGAGGCTTCTCAGCTTCTCAGAAGCCCTTCGGCCTCCTTATCGCGCCCGCGACTCATGCCTGAACCCCCCTGCCCCCCCTGGCCAGATTTCTTTTCTTCCTCCCGCGGGGGTTCCACCTTCGCGACGACTCGTTAAACCTGGGACCCCTGGCGGCGCATGGATTTTGTTTCCGCGCGCGTATTGCCATTGGAACCCCTGAACCCCTCTGGGTAGAGTATACCCTGCATTTGAATACAATTGGTACCATCATGTGGTAGCGCGCAGCTGCTCGTAGAGTGCACCTGGTCCTGCAGCACAGCTAGTCTTATCGAATTGCGATTGAGGCATTCGAGGAAGCAGTATAGACTCGTGACTTAGGAATAAGGAAACACTACAGGTTCGCTACTTGGGAGCACGGCAGCATAATATAATCGCGATAATGAAAGAAGGAGACAGTAAATAATGTCGATTTGGGAAATAGGACACACAGTCGCGCGCAAGTAATATTATGATTCCCGAGTGCAACTAATATCAACTAATATTAGAGTGATGCTGCATTACATGTACAATCCGGGCTGTCGCGCTTTTCCTCCTCTGGTTGCGCTGGGGGGGGACCCCGCGCGCCAGCATCCCCGCGGCTGAGAGTTCATTCCTCTTCCGGAATCTTAGGCAGGGGCAACCCCGTGTCCGAACCCCTCGCAATGACCTGTTTTTTCTCTGTGGAAGTTGGACCTCTTGGGTTCCTCGGCGTGCCCCGGGAATGCTTTCCTTGCGGATGGATGCCCCCCCATGGGTCCTATGTAGGAGTCGCCCGGGTGGTGGCCTTCTGAGAAGTTTCTTGGACCTTCGGGGAAAGCTTAGGATTGTTTTCAGAAGGCCAGACGCCTGCCGAGCCTTCTGAGAAGGCCCGCCCCTCTTGTTCCCTGGGCTCACCGCCGATGCTCTCGTCGAGGAACCAACAAAAACGTCATACACCAAAGCTTGCGGAGCTCCGCGCGGATTCCTTGAGTGGGCGCTAGAGCCCCTTGGCAGCGCCTCTGGCGCCTCCCCCGCCCACGCCAACACCAGGGTTTTCGCAGTTCGGTCGGTCCGGTTGCGTGGCAGTCGGTCGCGTTCGGTCGGTTCGGCTCGGTCGGTTATCGTGTCGTTGCCGCGTCGCTCCGCTTGTCGCCATCGCCTCTGCTGGAACGCCAGGGCTCGGCAGAAACTTTCGGACGTCCGCGCGGATGTCTCGGGGCGCGCTCCAGCGCCGATCCGAGAAATCCGCGCGGACCTCCGAAAGTTTATATGCATGCCCTTGTTTGTTCCATTATGCTCCCCTAGCAAACTTTCGGACGTCCGCGCGGATGTCTCGGGGCGCGCCAGGGGGGCTTCAGGAGATCTGCAGCATGCATCTGGTTTCGGCCCCCACCGCTGGGCGCATTCCTCGATACATGGCCGTCTCTGTCGCTTGGCGGTGCTTGAAGAAAATACGCATGCAGCTGATTCACTAACACCCTTGTGATGTGGCCCTCTTGACCAAGACCCCCATCCTCATCCACGGGAGGGTGGGACCGTCTCTCATATACCGGAAACCCGGCCCCAGGGGCCCTGGAGCCGAAGACCACCAGGGGCACCCAGACTGCACTAAGTGCCCACCCCGGCTCCTGGAGCCTCCCCTGAGCCTCCCCTGAGCTTCCCCAGGCGCCCCCAGAGCCTCCAGATCTGTTCCAAGGGGCTCACAGGCAGGCCAAGATGGCTCCCGGACGGCCCAAGATGGCTTCAAGACGGTCCAAAAGGCTCCCAAGACGCTCCAAAAGGCCTCCAAGAGGCCCCCCATGAGGGCCCCAAGAAGCAAACATCGTGCCATTTCTTTCGGAAAACGTGCATTTTTAGCATCTGTTCTTTTTGGTTTGTCACAGTGTCCACGACGGCCCAAGAGGCTCCCAAGACGGCCCAGGAGGCCCCCAAGAGAGCTGCAAGGAGGAGCAGAATGTATGCACACACGAATATACCGACCCTTGCGTACAATACCGTTGCGCGTGCATGCTGTCGTGTCTACGATGCTGCTCAGCCTGTGCTGGAGCGGCGGGCCCTTCTATGATCGACATCGCCTCATCTCGATGCCGATCTCAAGGATTCCCTCAGTTTTCGAGGGAGCATCCCTACGATTGCCATCGCCTTTTGGCGTGTCCATCTTAGGGATACAAGGGATACGTTCGAGGCTGGTTACGTAGGACTTCCTCGGAGGAGAAGGAGGAGGACGAGGAGGAGGAGGAGGAGGTGTAGGCGAAGGAGGAGCAGGAACAGGAGCAGGAACAGTAGCAGGAGGAAGAGGAGGAGGAGGAGGAGGAGGAGGAGGAAGAGGAGGAGGAGAAGACTAAGTTCGAGGCTGGTTATGTAGGACTTCCTCGGAGCCCACGCTCCAGGACTACATGCTCTGAGCGCTGCTCCGCCACGCTCGGGCCTCGTCCCCTAGCCTTCCGCGCACGTCCTTTCCCCTCGCCGTGCCCGATTAGACCTCGCAGTGCCCCTCGGCCGCCTTCGACCCCCGCTGGGATCCAAGCTCAGGGGGGTGGGAAATGGTACCCATACTGCTACCCTTCCTTCGCTTTCCCATGTTTGGGCCTCCTGGGAGGCCTTCGTCGCCACCGCTGCATTCGCCTCGAAATCCTGGTCAGAACGCACCCGGGGAGAGGTCCGGGGATTAGCGGTATTGGTACTTTTTGGCTTCCTTCGGAAGCCTAGATGTTGACACCAACACCGATATCGGCGGTGTGCCTCCACCGAGGGAAGAGTGTCCTGATCTCGGTGATGGTGGTAATTTTCTGGCTTCCTAGGCGGCCGAAAGATTACCACCAACACCGAGCTCTAGGATCGTCTTCCCCTGGTGGAGGCAACCCCCTGTGTTGGTGCCCACTTCCAGGCGAACAATTCCTCACCTCGGCCGCTTTCGAACGCTGCTGGGATCCAAGCGGCTGAGACTAAACACGCCACGGGGCTCTGAGGACTTGTTCAGTCCAACCGTCCAACCCCAGGCAATCTGAATCTCTAGCTAAGCTGTGGAGTGTGCACTAAAGCAGAGACAGGGAGAGAGATAGAGAGAGAGAGAGCCTCTTTTCGCCAATGACGTCGGTGACTATCCTCGCCCTCCTGCCCCACGCATCTCTTCGGGCGCCAGTTTTAGCGGAGGCTCCAATGCAATCTGCTAGTTCTGACAGACTCTTGGCAGGATCTCGGGGCAGGGGCATTGTAGGCCAGCAGTGGAACCCATTGAAGAGGCCGAGGCAGAGGAGAAGCCTTTGCTAGAAGAAAAACTGGCCTTTGCTAGAAGAAAAACTGCGTCAGCATGAACTTTCGGAGGTCCGCGCGGATTTCTTGGATTCGCGCTGGACTTCTCTCGCTGACGCCAGGGGGGTCCAGCGCAGATCCACGAAATCCGCACGGACCTCCGAAAGTTTATGTTTATGTTGTTCTTTGCGTCTTCGATTTGTTAAGCAGGGGTAGCCGCCGCCGACGATGACGACGGCGACGGCGACGGCGACGGCGACGGCGACGGCGACGGCGACGACGAGAGGAGGCCCATGCTTACCTCGCAGACCGCTTCTCTGCACTCTCCTGTCCGCGGACTCATCACCTCTCAGCGCCGTGCCCAGAGCATACGGGAGCTGCCCCTGTACGTGCGGCAGCGCGGCAGCGACGAGGGGCTGGAGATGGTGTGGGAGGAGGCGGAGCTGCTCGAGGCGCTCGCCTGCGAGGCTGGGCGGGGAGTTTCGGAGACACGCGCTGCGTCCGCCTTTTCCACTCCCGCCTCTCCTCGCCCCCTCGCCCTCCCCCTTGCTGTCGGTCTGAGCATGCTGCCAGCCTGATTGGTGCAAGATGTCGAGGTTGAGCCTAGCTGAGCCCAACTCGCTATCTGTATCTAGTTGTGTTTGTTCCTCCCCTCTCGCCCTGTTCTACCATTAGCTTTTCCAAGCTGGTTGGGCTCGAGCTTGTGCCTGAGTCGCCCGCGGTGCTGGGCCGTGTGTGTGCCCGGTCCTCATATCATTTCCCCACCCCCCACCGGGAAATCGTAGTTGGTGTTCTTGTCGTGCGTGACGTGTGTCCGAGGCTCTGCGTGAGTTTCCCAGGGCGCTGGGATGGACGGCGGGAAAAAACACTACTGCGGCAGACGGGGCGCGCCAGGTGTCGTAGGGCGTCGTGTTGCCGTGGTGCCGAGGTGTCGTGGCTTGGTGTCTACAATAATCAGACAGACGGCAGTAATGTCTTCGTATATATATAGAGATGGACATGCATCTACATGTACACTGTTACACATACATACAAACGTACACGTATCCATGTATACATACATACATGCATGCATGCATGCATACGTACGTACGTACGTACGCACATACATACATACATACATACATACATACATACAGTCAGACAGGCAGGCACACCTACCTACCTGCCTGCCTGCCTGCCTACCTACCTACCTACCTGTCTACTTACACAAGTACATGCATACATACATTTACATATATATATACACATACACACATACACAATCACACATACACACATACACATACACCTACTCATACACATACAAGCACATATACCTCTACATATACACATACACCTACACATGCATATACATAACTTTGCATGCCCATGCTTATGCACATATATATATATATATGTATGTATGCACATGTGTATAAATAAATAAATAAATAAATGTATATATATATATATATATGTACATCTATGTGTGCACACCCTACATGCATACATACCTACATGCATACATGCATGCATACATACATAGTTGTATGCAC